AATATAAACTTAAAATTGCAAGAATAAGTCAGAATTGCGAGATATAAACTTAGAATTGTGTAAAAAAAGTCAGAATTGCACAAAAAAGTCAGAATTGCAAAATATAAACTTAAAATTGCAAGAATAAGTCAGAATTGCAAGATATAAACTTAGAATTGTGTAAAAAAGTCAGAATTGCATGAAAAAAGTCAGAATTGCATGAAAAAAGTCAGAATTGCGAGGTATAAACCAATTGCACAAAAAAGTCAGAACTGCGAAATATAAACTTAAAATTGTGAGAAAAAGTCAGAATTGCGAGATATAAAATCAGATTTGTACAGAAAAGTCAGAATTGCGTGAAGAAGTCAGAATTGCGAGATATAAACTCAGAATTGCGAGAAAAAGTCAGAACTGCGAGATATAAACTTAGAATTGCGTAAAAAAGTCAGAATTGCGAAATACAAACCCAGATTTGTGCAGAAAAAAGTCAGAATTGCATGAAAAACGTCCGAATTGCGAGAAAAAGTCAGAATTGTGAGATATAAATCAATTGCACAAAAAAGTCAGAATTGCAAAATATAAACTTAAAATTACAAGAAAAAATCAGAATTACGAGATATACTCAGATTTGTGAAGAAAAGTCAGAATTGCACAAAAAAGTCCGAATTGCATGAAAAAAGTCAGAATTGTGTGAAAAACGTCCGAATTGCGAGAAAAGTCAGAATTACGAGATATACTCAGATTTGTGCAGAAAAGTTAGAATTGCGTGAACAACATCCGAATTGCGAGATATAAACTCAGATTTGTACAGAAAAGTCAGAATTGCGTGAAAAAGTCAGAATTGCGAGATATAAACTCAGAATTGCGAGAAAAAGTCAGAATTGCGAGATATAAACTTAGAATTGCGTAAAAAAGTCAGAATTGCGAGATACAAACCCAGATTTGTGCAGAAAAAAGTCAAAATTGCATGAAAAACGTCCGAATTGCGAGAAAAAGTCAGAATTGTGAGATATAAATCAATTGCACAAAAAAGTCAGAATTGCAAAATATAAACTTAAAATTGCAAGAATAAGTCAGAATTGCAAGATATAAACTTAGAATTGTGTAAAAAAAGTCAGAATTGCACAAAAAAGTCAGAATTGCATGAAAAAAGTCAGAATTGCATGAAAAAAGTCAGAATTGTGAGATATAAACTCAGAATTTCGAGAAAAAGTCAGAATTGCGAGATATAAACCAATTGCACAAAAAAGTCAGAACTGCGAAATATAAACTTAAAATTGCGAGAAAAAGTCAGAATTGCGAGATATAAAATCAGATTTGTGCAGAAAAAAGAATTACGAGATATATCTCAGAATTGCGTGAAAATGTCACATTGTGAGATATAAACTCACAATTTGCAAATAAAAAAAGTCCAAATTTTGAGATAAAAAGTGGCAAATACTTACATCTTTTTTAATCCCGTGGCGGAATCAAGCTTCTACATTTTTCACCCCAAAATCAGAAGAAAAACAATTACAAACAAACCCAAAAGTAAAATGTTTCACAACACAGTGAAGAGAATTTGGAGGTGCTTAATTGGCATGAAAATCTTAAATTTAATAATGCAAAAAAAAAAATGTTCTAGTGGATTTTGGAGTGAAACACAACCTACACATGTTTTTGTGAGATTCAGCCGATTACATATAACAAATTTCCTCATGCTCAATTCATCTGATGGCACTTTGCTGATTTGAGAGACACCAAAACAAACAGAACAACAGATTAAAATCATTGAGCATCCGAAACCTCCTTCAGCAACACAACGAACACCAGAAATGTACAACAAAACATTAGTATCGAGGCATAGCAAGAAAATAATTGCACAATAAAATTACAGTAGCAATGGGCCGATATACAAAAAAAAAAAAAGAGAAACAAAATAAATAAGAAAAAATAAATTAAAAACGTCATGAAGGAAAGTCGAGGAGTGCACATACGTGAGTGGCTGGATGAGGCGGGAGAACATGCGGCGCTGGCTCAGCGTTCACAATCTGCAGGAAACACACGTTCAGCTCGCGCAACATTCGACATGTTACTGTACATCATGCAGCCGCGGCCTCCGCCTCAGCGAGAACTACGGAGTGACTGAACCTGTACCGTACTGATGTACTGAAAACCAGTACATTTACAACACAGTCAAATTTCACCTCAAAATCAGAAGTTAGACGTTTTCAACATAGAAACGGAAAACAATTATTAAGATTGGATTATACTGCATTGTGACACTGGCATCATTTAAATGACAATTAAGCATGTTTTCTCTTCAATTTGATACTATAAAATGAACATCTAGATTTTCAAACATAAATTAAGTAATCAATGTCACATTACTCCCCATCTAAAAAAAAAAAAACAGAATTGCGAGATATAAACTCAGAATTCGAAGAAACGTCGGAATTGCGGAATATAAACTTTACTTTTTTCCTCAGAATTCCGAGGATACATCTTGCAATTATGTTTTTTTTTTAATGTTTTGTTTCCACCACAGTTTAATAAATACAAAAGGTAATTGCATCTCACAATTAAATGATGTGTTGCATTACTCCCCATCTAAAACAGGCAGCAAGTAACAAAAGAAAAAAACAACAACTCAGATTTAAACTGAGTTGTTATAAACTTGCGATTCCAAGAAGAAAAGTCAGAATTGTGAGATATAAACTCTCTTCACTTTTTTCTTGCAATTCTGACTTTTTTCTCAGAATTCTGATCTCACAAATGTTTTTTTCCCACCACGTAATAATAAATAAAAAAGGTAACTGTGACTTTTTATTTCACAATTCTAAACATATTCTGACATTATGATTATTTTCTTTATAACTGAACATTTAGATTTTTATTATTTAAATACAGTACAGAGTATCGAATTGACTCTATACTGTGTTTAAATAATAAAAATCTAGATTTTCAATCATAAATTAAATAATCAATGCATCGCATTACTCCCCATCTAAAATAGGGACCAAGTAACACAAGAAAAAAAAAAGAAAACTAAAGATTTTCTTAAAAAATATTAAGAGCATAAAATAAAAGGTGGTAGAAAATTTAAATGAACTTTACAAATGTAGTATAAAACTAAACTAAAAGGTCCTAAAAATCTGTTTAAATGCAAAAAAATATTTTTTTCTTTTGATTTTTAGGTGAAATATGAGCTGAATGTGAGTGGATTTTTAAATCAACATTTGACACGGTTCTAATAAATGATGAGGACTTTTATCAGCATTGTCTTTAAAGAGTAAAACGATGTGCTTTCATTTAAAAAAAGTCATTTTCCTTCATTTGATCGTTCTGCCATCATCTCTGATTTGAAACGAGCAAACTGCATGATTTCAGAGGTGGCGGAAACGTCAATCTGAACCAAAGTCTCACAAAATATGCGTCACTCCTTCAAGATGAACAAAAAACTAAAGACAGGACAGACAAATCAGAGGAACAGCATTGAATGCATCAGTGTCTTCAAATATAATAATTACAGTCTTAACAAATTTCAGAAGAAGTTCTTCCTTATGTCTTGTACAAAGTAGTGGTCAAATAAAAAGCAAATGAAAGAAAAAAATGTACACCACCGTAACTTTACAAATCAGGTATAAAAGTACAAATAAAACAGGAAAATCAAAAGCGCCGAGAGTCCTGAGAGGAGAAAACTTCACAGATTTACACAGTATTGCTCGGATTATCTTCAACAGGCAAGAGAACCACAGTTTCAGATGATATATACAAACAAAACGACTTATGAGAAGAGATTTGTGGTGCTGAGGCTGATTTGTTTGCTGTATGTGAGTGTAAACAGTCTAGGTCGATCTGTTCGTGTTATAGGCACAGAAATATTATGATATGTCAAAACTGGTTTGTATCTATTGGCCATTTTAAGTTTAGTAGATTTAAAGGGACAGTTCATCCAAAATTGACAATTCTGTCATCATTTACTCATGTCATTCCAAGTTTCTTTCTTCTGTTGAACACAAAATAAGATAATTTGAAGAATGTTGGTAACCGAACAGTTGACGGTAGCCATTGACTTCCATTCTATTTTTTTCCATACTATAGAAGTCAATGGGTTCCATCATGGAACAACTTGGTACGAGTGAGTAAATCATGAAATATTTTTTTCTTTATTCAGTTAAACACAAGAAGATATTCTGAAACATTTTGGTAACCAAACAGTTGACGGTAGCCATTGACTTCTATTGTATTTTTTCCAAACTATAGAAGTCAATGGGTTCCATCATGTAACAACTTGAGGGTGAGTAAATAATGATTTTTCCCCCTTCTGTTAAACACAAAATAAGATTTCGTAGAATGTTCATAACCCAACAGTTGTTGGTCCCCATTGACTTCCATTGTATGGAATAAAGATACTATGGAAGTCAATTGGGACCAGCAACTCATACAAGTTTGGAACAAATTGAGGGTGAGTAAATGATGACCGATTAATTTTTTTCTTCTGTTGAACATAAAAGAAGATATTTTAAAGGATTTCGGTAACCAAACAGTTTCTGGTCCCCATTGACTTCCATTAACATGGAACAACTTGAGTAAACGATGACAGAATTTTCATTTTTGGGTGAACTGTCCCTTTAAGTACCTGAGTGAGACTTAAAGTCAACATCTTTTGCAACTTTTATTCTTATGTTTTCCAAAATTGGGTGAATAATATAATAAAATAATAACCCGATAACAGCTTTCCTCCACCTTTGCCTCCACAAAATCATACGTAGACGATAAGAAACATCATTATTTAACAATATTGGAGCAAACAACACAGCCAGTCCAGTAATATTTCTATTGATTTGAAATCAAATAAAAAGATAACTCAATAACAGCAGTACACCAACTCATCATTGACTTCATCAAAGACGTCTAGATCCTCCTCGCCTGTTCTTCTGACAAGTATTTAAACCAAAAAAATAGGAAGAACACTAAAAAAATTAAACATTTATGCAATAAAAAAGTAAAAACATCAAGAAAACTGGACGAAATGAGGTGCAACAAGCTTTGTTCTGAGAAAAACGGGCTCTTTGGAGATTTGTCAAGTTGCTGGACGTCTTGGAAGATTTCTGAAGGAAAATCCCATCCTAATCATCCGTAGATGGGTGCCGTGGGACAGTAAGGCATTCCCAAGACTCGTGGAGGTCATTCATATATACACGTATATGGAAGTGCAAAGAAAATTAAACAGCATCCTGTACAAAATACCTCGACATGTTTATGAAAATATTCCTGTTTGAATCTCAAGAACATCATGGCATCTTCATGAGGAAAAAGACGTTAAAAACAGTCCCCGTCCTGCGGAGACGTCTTCGTTCCAGTCTCTGATTTTCCCCTCAAAACCCGTGTTAGATTTCAGACAGTGCTGTTAAACGTCCCGCTCCGTGAAGAGGACTGGGACACGGTGTTTGAGAGGTGTTTCACCTGCGATTTTCCCTCGCGTCTGCCTCTCTGCCGAATACCAGCGTGTAGAACGCCACCGCCACACGCCACCACAGCGGCTCCTGGTTCCTTTGGTTTCCATGATGCTGCAAAATAAAAACACATAACAGCATTACAGCAATGAGACTTACAGGGGTAAATGAGATTTAGGGGGGTACATGGCATTAAAATAATGTCATATTGCAAAATAATCTTAATGGTCCTAAAAAAAATAATACAGTTTCTTATTTTCTTGAGCCGGTGATTCATCCAATATTTAAAATACATTTCAAATTATGCACAAAATGGCCAAAATATATTGCTAATATGGATTTTAAAATATATTATCATGAGGCAAAAATACATATTTTCAGATATTTATTTATTTATATTTTAAAACATATTTCAAATTATGCAAAAAAAAAAATTGGCCAAAATATATTGGTAATATGGATTTTAAAATGTATTATATTATCATGTGGCAAAAAAAAGAATCATATATATTTTAAATTATGCAAAGAAATGGCCAAAATATATTGCTAATATGGATTTTAAAATATATTATATTATCATAAGGCAAAAAATACATATTTTCAGACATATTTTAAAATCTATTTCAAATTATGCAAAAAAAATTGCCAAAATATATCACTAATATGGACTTTAAAATATATTATATTATCATAAGGCAAAAAAACAACAACATATTTTAAGATATATTTTAAAATATATTGCTACTTCATGAGTCCTGTGTCCTGTCTTAAATCGTCCTAAGGTTCCTGTGCTACGTGTGTTAATAAAGTCTGTAGTTTGTGAATTCTCTGTTCCCACGTCAAGCCCAGGGAGGGCAACAGTTCCCACGTCAAGCCCAGGGAGGGCAACAGTTCCCGAGTCAAGCCCAGGGAGGGCAACAGTTCCCAAGTCAAGCCCAGGGAGGGCAACAGTTCCCAAGTCAAGCCCAGGGAGGGCCGCTGCTTCTACGTCAGGCCCACGGATTGCCTTAGGGCTGATAGTTTCCCCAAGGATTTTCGGGGTGGGGGGTGGGGTTATAGGGATCCGGCCGTAGAGGCCGGCCGAGTGCCGAGGCCAGGCCCCCTGAGTTCCCTGCTCCGCCATGGGTCCCTGAACTGTCTGCTCCGCCATGGTCCCCTGAGCTCCCTGATCCGCCATGGGTCCCGGAACGGGTACCGCCCTGGAGGCCATCCGTCACATTTAAACCTGTCCCTAGAGGCCTCCAGAGCGCCCGCCCCCCCTCCCCGATGGAACTGTTACGGCGCGGGACACGCCTTCTAGAGGGGGAAGTAACGTCATGCCCATGGACTGTTTTGGTGTTTGTTTTCCTCCCCCACGTGTTCCATGTTCCCTCCTGTGACCTAGTTTCTCCCTCATGTTGATTGTTTATTGATGTCAGGTGTGTCTTGTTAATTCCCTCGTTTAGTTCTAGTATTTAGCCCTGTTTTTTCATGAGTCCTGCATCCTGTCTTAAATCGTCCTAAGGTTCCTGTGCTACGTGTGTTAATAAAGTCTGTAGTTTGTGAATTCTCCCACGTCTTCTTGCTCCTTCGCTCCTCGTTCCTACACAGTAGGCAGTACCGTGACACTAATATGGATTTTAAAATGTATTATATTATCAAGTGGCGAAAAAAAAAATCATATATATTTTAAAATATATTTTAAATTATGCAAATAAAAAAGAGACCAAAATATATTGCTAATATGGATTTTAAAATATATTATATTATCATAAGGCAAAAAATACACATTTTCAGATATATTTTAAAATGTATTTAAACTTATGCAAAAAATTGTCAAAATATATTTCTAATATGGTTTTTAAAATGTATTATATTATCATGGGGCAAAAAAATCATATATATTTTAAATTATGCAAAAAATGGTTATTAGTTATTCATGTTAGTTCACACACTTTTGGGCAATTTTTAATGTATTTTTTAATTGTATTTATTTATTTTTGGCTGTACGAGACAATACATTGAAATAACATTAGTCATGTCACATTTTATGACATTGGCATAATATTGGCTCGAGCGTGTGGCTCGTGTGAGGACACAGTGATGTAATAGCTGGGTAAACACAGTCAAATCCAGACAGCGGAACGCGGCAGTATTTCCACAACAAACGCTGTCTGTTCCTGATGCATGGAAGCCACGCGATCTCCTTCACACGCAAGAACCAATACAACATTACATCAAACACAGAGTGCAATACGAACACTATCAATGAGAGTAATAAATAAGCTCTGGTGACTAAATATGTATATGGACAGTAAATTTATTAGGAACTGCAACATATTAAGATTTAAATATTTTTTAAGGGTTAAATATTATTTTTTAAATATATTTTTTCGTAATAAAAATAATGCAAAATACAGGCCAATAAGTGATATATTTTTATTTTCAATTCATCTGCCATTCACTAAGCAACCACACAGAATCCAGATCAATAACAAAATGAATATAGACATGGGGTTTATAGAGTAAACAGTTAAATGACCAGTAACCACAACATAATGAGGTTTAAACTGAATTAGAAAACAGATCCGTCTTCATTTTTACATATTTATTCTATAAAGCCCATTTTTACATGCCTTTTAAGTGAAAAGACGAATGAATGAGAATAATTAAAAGCCAAAAATATTACTTATTGGCCCTGAAACAACATTTTGCATTATTTTTAATATTGCTTTTTTTATGAAATGCAATTTTTAAAAATAATAAAAATAATGCAAGTGACAGTTTCAGGGCCAATAAGTCATATTTTGGTATGAAAATTTTTTTTTGTGCTATTTTTACTTGTATAGTAGTTTGCAATACTCCATGTAAAAATTGCACCTTTCTCAAAAACATAGAGAAACATAATGAAGACAGAACTACAATTATCTGTTTTCTAACTCAGTTTAAACCTCATTGTGTTGCAGTTCCTAATGAAGTTACTGGTCATTTACATATTTACTCTATAAAGCCCATTTTTATACTCATTTTGTTATTGATTTGGAATCTGTGAACATCTGTTTAGTGAAATGGTGAATTAATTGTGAATGAAAAAGAATTAAAAGCCTTGAAAATATATTTTGCATTATTTTAATTATTACTTTTTTTTTGTCCATGAAAATGCTTCTTTTTTTTACAATAATACAAATAGTGCAAAATACAGTTTCAGAGCCAATAAGTAATATTTTTTGACATGAAAATATAATTATTAATATAATAATATAATTAATAATAATTATAATTATTCATATAATACATATTATTAATTATAATAATATTTTTATTTATTTATAATTATATTTATTATAATTATTTAGCCTCACTCATTTAATTTTATTTATTTATTTTAATTTTTTGGCATGAAAATATAATTATTTAAACTCATTATCTTGCAGTTCCTAATGAAGTTACTGGTCATTTACATATTTACTCTATAAACACCATGTCTATATTCATTTTGTTATTGATTTTAAATCTGTGGCTGTGAACAATTAACGTGATTTTGTGTATTTTTTATGTATTATTTATTATAACTTTTAATCTAATTAAATACACATTGTGATGATTAATGAAACAAATTAATCTCAAATTAATTAGATTAATTCATTGGCACATCATGCCAATTAATGACAAATTGGTGTCTTAATGAGTGAGTCATTCATTCAGCCGATTCATTCAAATGGCTGATTCATTCAGAAACGAAGCAAGCGAGTCTTTACGGATGGCTCACTGAATCATTGACTCATCCGATTCGTTTAAAACCATGGATTCATTCAGTAATGAAACACATCTGTGTGTTAACCAGAGACGCACAACAATAGGGTCTGCTAGCTAGGGTTTTATAGGTAATATTTTTGTTGGCGAAATTGCACAAAAACAGACTATATTGACAATATTGTGTCTAAAATGTAACACAATATTAACTTATTGTTTATTCGTATAAATTTTGTCGTATAAAATCAATATCACTTTTGCAATTGTGCAGATATTCGGGAAAAAAATCAACTCTCTTGCTCGAGTCGTATGATATTGCTATATCAAATACAAATATAAAACAAACCCATGCATTGTTTGCCCTCATATCTTGAATTTTAGACTGCATTCTAATAGGCTTCATCACGCATTCAGTCGCCCTGCATCATGTTCGTCGACAACTGCAGGTACAAATTTGTTCATATTTTCCCCCCCATAATTATTCACACCTTTACCTTATCTTCGTTTTTAAGTAAAAACTTTTATGCAACCTATTTTTCCTTCTACCAGCCAATGCCTGCACATTTTAGAAAGTGTTCTTGCTCCGTCCAAGCATTAAATGCACCTGAATGAGCGCTAAAGCGTATTCTTCAATCGCTCAGGTAATGTCAGGATGAGCCATTTCAGGGGCGGCCAAAAATACAATTTAAAAGCAGTCAGAGCTACAGAAATGCATCGTCATATTTATGAGTAAATCTCCATATTTTGCATAGGCTACTTTCTATCCGACCTCCCAAACCCCCGTAATCCGCACCCTGGCTGTGAACATGTGTTTAGTGAAATGCTGAATTAAATGAGAATATTGAGAAAATTACTTATTGGCCCCAGAAGTGTATTTTGCATTATTTTTATTATTTAGAAAAAAACTCACACTCACACTTGCACTCGCACACGCACACGCACACGCACACTCACTGAAACATGGCTTTTCATATCACTGCTATGCTGATGACACTCAACTCTACCTCTCATTCCATCCTGATGATCCGACGATAGCTGCTCGCATCTCAGCTTGTCTAACAGACATTTCTTGCTGGATGAAGGACCATCACCTTCAACTCAACCTGGCTAAGACGGAACTGCTTGTGGTTCCAGCAAGCACATCGTTTCATCACAATTTCACCATCCAGCACATCAACCATAACTCCTTCAAAAACAGCTAGAAACCTTGGAGTTATGATTGATGATCAGCTGACTTTCTCAGACCACACTGCATTGAGACTTGTTATAGCACTTGTATATCAGTGCTCTTTTGTTAGTTTTCGATTGCTTCCATTGTCCTCATTTGTAAGTCTCTTTGGATAAAAGCGTCTGCTAAATGTCTAAATGTAAATGTAAATGTA